CCCACTCCAAGCCTCTGGGATAGGGTGGAGGAGGAAACACTTTACAGGAGAAACAAATGTGGGAAGGGTCCATAAAACTTTACTGCATTTCCTCTCCCGCCTCCCACAACAGGGTGATTTCCTGCAGCCAAGCCTAGGCCCCCCACACTGGTGGGGTGGGGGTCTGGGTTAGGGGGTTGCTCCAGCAGCCAAGAGGGAAGGGGAGCAGAGAGACTCTGGGGAGGGGAGGGGGAATATTTATGATTATTAATGCTGATGCTTCTTGGATTTATCATAAAGACTGACTTCGATGCATCCCACTGCCTAAGCTGCCTGTCAGTCATTTTTTAAAAAGCCCCAAGAGCCTTTCCTTACCCCATGTCTAGCACTTAGGAGGTCTCAACAAATGTTTATTGAACTGCACACATGACTTGCCACCCTTCCCTTCACACTGCACTCAGGCCAGGTTAGGGTGCCCTTGTGTCTCCTCAACTTGCACTCAGCAGTCAGCCGAGCCAGCACTCCTACTCTCTCTCTCTCTCTCTCTCTCTCTTTCTCTCTCTCTCTTCCCCCCTTCTCCCTGAAATAAAATGTGTAATTTTCTTCAGGGAGTTATTTTAATTTTTTCTCCATGCTGAGTAAAACTATTGGGTGAGCAGTGAAGCATGGAGAAGCACTGGCGTCTACAATGGGTAACAGTTAAGTAAGAAAGAATCTCTGGCGCCCGCGCTCACCCACTCCTGCCTCCCAGGCTGCCGAGGCCCTGTGCTTCCTCCCCAGGGGCCAGATGCACCACCCCAGGGGGAGAACCTGGCTTTGCCAGGGATGGAAGCAATGTTGGTCAGAGCTGCCAGGCAGGCAGCACCCATCCCACCTTGCACTGACTGCTTCCTCCGGCAGTGTTTGGGCCTTTTCTTCCTGGGAAAAGCTGAAGGACTGACTCCTTTTGGCCGTGCCTGCCAGCTCACCCCCTTCCTGTGTTAGTCCACAGGTCGGCCCCCAGACCACACCTCAGCTTCTGCAGTGTCGGCAGCGGCAACCAAGCCAGAGGCCTCTGACTACTCCCCTGCACTGGGGGTGGATAATGGCCACATCCCTGCTTTCTCCCTGAGCAGAGGCTTCTGCTTCAGGGTCTGGGTCTGGTAGTTCCTCCACCAGCCAACCTCCTGGAAAAATCTCCAAGTACCAGGGTTTGACATTGCTCTTGGGGAGTTAGTGGAGGAGGCTTCTGGGTCACAGAGACCGTGGAGCCTGCCTCTTCACTTTGCCCTGGAACCCACCCACTCTGGCAGCAAAAAAGAAGGGGAAGAAGCATGACTTACCTTCCTGGGGGAGTGGAAAGAGGGGGACACGGCCCACTCTGAGCAATTAGAAGAGAGAGGAGGAAAAAAATAGGAGGAAAAAAATATCAACAAGACCTCAAAGGCGACAGGTCCTTATGGAAATAAGTAAATAAATAAATTAGTATCCACCCTCTCTCCCCTCCCCACCCTGCAAGGGGGGCATGGGGGTGGGGCAAAGGAGCAGCATGAGGGTTTTTTAGTGTAACTGAGCATTAGAAAAATAGGCATGGCTTCTATGTGAATTTAGGAGTTTGAAACTTTTGGAGGTTATTTATGTGAATGGCCTGAAGGCAAGCCTGTGAGTGGCTCTTGGGGGACCACGTGATGTCATTAAACCAAGTTTTATGGTGTAGGGAGAGCTGACAAACCCACAATATATTTACATCATATATAATCTTAACTGTCCAGCCACGCAGCTGCTGGTGAGGTTTAATGCTGGGACAGAGGGCCTGGCAGTTAGAGGGGATTACGGCGCTGGGGACGATGGTGAGAGAGGTTACATCTTCGAAAATGAATCCCAGGCGAACGCTGTAAGTTAATATTCTCTCTCTCAGACCCTTTCTCCCATTTACTTGATCCCTCCCCCACTTGATACAAGGCAGTTCCCACTCATTAGGGGGAGGGGGAAAAGGCCTCCCCAGGCTGGGGTGGGAGAAGAAAAGCAGCCGCTGCTGGGAAGTCAGACGATGGGAGAGCTTGTCTCCCCAGGCCAGCTCTCCCCTTCCCAACCCGGATTCCCTCCGACTGCAAGTCAGCTGGGGTAGGGAGAGGCCTTGGTTCTTTAGAGTTTCGCCAGGTCTTCCTGACCCCCTCTCAGCTGAGAAGAAAAGCCTGTGCAGGAGACACGGGTGTTTGGTGTTTTGTAGGCGTGTGTAAACTCTAGACAAGAGAGCAAAATGCCTCTGGGGCCCTCTGTTCCAAGGAGGGGTGAGTTCAGCCCTTGGCCAGTGGCCCAGAATCCAGGCATAGTGAGAAGCTGGGGAGAAAGGCAGGGATGGGGGGGCTTTGTGGCTTCTGAGCCCACAGGCTGCTGCTGCCTGAACTGGCAGAAGCATCTGCAAGGTGCTGAACCCAGGAGTCCCACAGTATCATCTCCCGCACTCGCCCCCAGGCTTGGGCAGGCAGCAATCCCAGCCTCCGTATGTACTCCTCTTACTCGGGGATCTTAGTCTGTCTGGAGCCAGTGCGGTTTCATGTTTCCCCCCTCCCTCTAGCTGCTGAGGTCTTCCTGGCATCCCTGGCCCAAGCCTCAGGTGAAACCAGGCCCCAGGAGGCCTAGAGCTTCCTGCTGTGAGTAGAGTGTAAATGTGTATTTGTATGGGTTAGAGAGAGGAGGCAATGTCTTTGCTAAACTGGGAAAAAATCCCAACCCTGAGGAGGGAGTAGAGCCTAGGGGATGGAGCTAGCCGGGCCCCTCTGAGCATTGTACCCTGGGGTCAGTCCTCAGGCAGGGGCACCCTTCAGGTTTCTATAGGGAGGAGCAGCAGAGGCACTGGGCATAGGAGGCACCCGTCCTCCACACCTGTGAGTGCGTAACCCCTCCTCAAGCGTCACATCACCCGGAGCTAAGCCAGGAAAGTGACAACATGTGAACTCAGGTTGTTCTACCAGCCGGCCATGAATTGGGAGGGGTTCCATTCCAGAGCAAGGCTGAAGGCCCGAGGGCCCATGGCAGGGCAACTTGTCCAGGCTTCAGGAAAGAAAAGGGGAGCAGAGGAGTCGAGAGCTAAGTCCACACCTTCGTGAAGGGAAGAGTACCTTGGGGCACAAGGGTGTCCTGGTACCTGCTTTGTGGCAAAGTATGGTTGGGGGATGGAGAAGGAAGGCTGTTAGCATAGCCCCTGCTGCCCAAGGGACTGAGGAAAAAGTGGAATCAAGCAGGGAGGGATAGCCCAGGCAGACTCCAAGGGCAGAGAGGGACAAAGGCCCAAGGACACTGGGAGTCTGAGCTGAGCCCCATGCTTCAGTCTAGTGGTCTCTCACTTTCATGAGGAGCTCCGGGCCCCTGGGTGGAAGACTTCCCTAAGGCCACTGTCTGGGCTTCAGTCTCCTGCTAAAATTCAGCCTCCCCCACCCTACTCATTGACACCTTCATTTCCCTGGGAAGACTTAAGATCCCAGAGAATTCTCTTCAGTAGCCTGTTCACAAAACTAACTCTCAGGTTCTCCCTCCTCATTATCCGACCTTCTCGACTCCTCTCTCCATTAGTCTGTGATTTTGAGGGTTTCTGGAAACTTTCCAATCTAAGCACCAGGGAGATTGGAGTTTCCCTGACTCTTCCCCTCCCTTCAGCTTCTCTGGAGCCCTAGGGATAGAGTCCAGTGGTCTTTAACCAGGAATTTAGCCAGGGCCAAAGTCCCACACCCAGGCAAGACTCCACCACTCTCCCTGACTCCTGGCCAAATCTCAGTCCCAGTCCTTTCTCTCTCAGTGTAGAGGGGCGTATGAGTGTGTTTCTATGTTTATAGATTTACACAGCATCTCTTGGGGCATTCAATGACTTCCTTGCCTCCTTTCTTTAGGCTTGAAAGTTCCTTTTTAAAACCACCCACTTTTCCTGTGATAATAGATCCTCCTTCCCCTCAAATAATTTGCCTAAGTTTTTTATGGTTTTGTCAGTCCCACCCGGAAACAGGACAAAAACATAAAAGAGATTCTTGGTTTTCCCGAAGCCTTCCCCAAACCCACTCTCTCTGGGGTGGAGGGGAAGGCAAGTCGGGTGCCAATGTGCCCCAGCCAACCCAGAAAGCTTTTAATTTTGTCCCTAGGTCTTTAACCCTAGAACAGGCCAAGCAACCAATCAGGAATGTGCTAAGCAGGATCACATGGCCCCCACCAACCAATCAGCAAAACATTACTTGGGTCTCTGTTTAGCTCTTCCCTTCCACTTCTTTTCCTCACTCCTTTACCGCACCCCCTTCCCCAGTGCCTGGATCTGCCCTATCTCAGATTTGGAGGGCAGGAGTGATACAGAGCATATTCTGACCCCCTCTGTCCCTGAACCAGCTCTGAGAAGTCATCTCAGGCTTGTGTCCACAGTTCCTAACAAAGTTGTATCTGGAAGTCAATCTCAAGTGTACAAGGATCTGGAGTTGTGGCAGCATTCTCTGCATTATTCCCATGTTTTCAAACAAGATCTTATCCAGTTCTCTGGGCTTTATAGATATAAACTTTAAATTAGGCTATAGAGCAAATGTGGACATGAGCTCCAGCCCTGAATTCAAATTCGGGCTGTCATTACTCCCTATACACTTACCTTTTACAGGTTTTCATTCTCTTCTGAGCCTCATGAGGGCAGGTGGGGCAATTAGAGGAGCCCTTTTGATTTATCTTTCTGGAAATGCTCCAGGAGCCATTAGCTTTATCACACTGCTGCAGACATGGTTAGGGAAGGGAACAAAAAAAAATTTTGTTTTTTTTGAGACAGAGTCTTGCTTTGTTGTCCAGACTAGAGTGGGTGCTGTGGCGTCAGCCTAGCTCACAGCAACCTCAAACTTCTGGGCTCAAGCAATCTTCCTGCCTCAGCCTCCTGAGTAGCTGGGACTACAGGCATGTGCCACCATGCCCAGCTGATTTTTTCTATATGTATTAGTTGACCAATTAATTTCTTTCTATTTATAGTAGAGATGGGGTGTCGCTCTTGCTCAGGCTGGTCTCGAACTCCTGACCTGGAGCAATCCACCTGCCTCGGCCTCCCAGAGTGCTAGGATTACAGGCGTGAGCCACTGCACCCAGCTGGAACAAAATTTGTTTGAAAGTTGGGTGTTTGGTACCTCTAGTTTGTCAAATGACTTTCAGCCAGTGAAGTGAAGAGTTCTGGGAAAGTGTAAGCACAGAGAATTAGGACCCTCCTCACCCTTCATTTTAAACAGGCAATAGATTTAAGTCCCTTTTGCCTTCCATTCTTTTAATAAGATATAACAATAGTAATAATAGGCTAAGCTATGATCCTGTGGCATGGCCAATAAATATCAAAGGACACAGCTACAATGAATGTGTGGATTCCAGTGTCTATGTTTCCATGAGTTGTGTCAGAACAAGCAATGGGTAAGAAACTATTTCTGAACAAGAGCATCTGATGGCACAGAGAGTATGCATGTATGACAGAAATGCTTGTGTTTCCTAAACAGTTGGGCTAGGCCCTCAGCCAATCCACTGATGAGTCCAGACCCAGCCATTCTCCAGAGCCCTATCTCCCTGGGCTTTGTTTCATGGTGAATTTTCTGGTTGGGTTCTCTTCCCCTCCCCTTCTCCTCCTGCTCTCTTGCCTTCTTTGAGTTAAGGGGCAGGAGTTCTGATGGACTGTGCCACATGAACCTCTAAGCCTTCCTCTGGGGGGGGGGGAGGAAGGTTTTAAGAGAGCAAGAGTGGGAGGGATAACCCAATCTGACCTGGGCTTTGTCAACTTCCCCCCTGCTTGTTTGTCTTTTAGGTGGGGCTGGTTTGGGGACAATGCCACAGGCCAGGTGGGAAGGATTAGGATGAAAAGCCAAAAATAGGGCAGCTCAGAAACCATTGAGCCCCTACTTCCCATGTTACCTTTAACCATACTGCTCCATTTTTCCCTCTTTTATGATTAGAGTTAAAGCGCACACTCATTTTTCCCTAGTGGATGGTGTGGTAGCCCTGTCTGAGACCAACTCTCAGTGTGGACTTCTCACACTGGGCTTAGCAGATCCCATGAAGAGTAAGGAAAGAAAGAAAGGGGGAGATTGGCTCTGTCCATGCAGGCACTAGAAAGAGATTTTATCAGAATGCCTCAACCCGTTCTAACATACTAGTAAACTTTCTCTGTGTCTTTGACTATCCCTGTCTATAACTGCTTTGGGCTGAGTTTTTGAGAGGGGAAAATGCTGAAACATCCTTACTTGGGGATTTAATTCTGTCTATTTTTTGCTGGAGAGACAAACACCACCACCCTTTTTGGTGGGCCTAGGGCCTCTGAATCCCTTTGAGGTAGAGAAGAAAGAAAATCTGGAATCAGGAGGCCAAGCCAGGGCTTTTGGGGTTAGGGATTCCATTTAAGGAGAAGACTAGGCCATTAGAGGGCCAAGAAAGCTATATCCCTTCCCCCCACCTCCCGCTTTTATTGGGACCTTGTAACCTACAGTGGTGTGTCTGTTCTGATAATATCTCCTCCGGCTGTTTTGATGGGACCAGACAGGGTCTGGGCTGAGGAATTGGGATGATACAGATCTGTTTATCTTTGAGCCCTACAGAACCCTTGAATTCATCTCCCTTTATCATTCCTAAGGCTCACTGAGGGGCAAAAGGGGAACAGAGATACCCAGGAGGAAGCAGAGAGTGTAAGAGAGAGAGAGTGTGTGTGTGTGTGTGTATGTATGTATGTGTGTACACTTGCTCAATGTAGGACTTGAGAAAGTTGGATTAGGTTATTCAGGACCTTGTTCAGCCTCTGATGACCACACCTTAGAAGCTATGGCAAGAGACTGAATAGAAGACTCTGGGCATGCTAGGGAGCTGGTGCAGGGAGAAGGCTACTTCTCTAAACCTGCACACATGTACAAAGTTCCACCATGATCTGCAACCCTATATGGGCTAAGTGGCATGTGTGGGCTGAGTTACCTTTGATCATTTCAGCACTGCACAACAGGTCTCAGGGAGGTAGAACAGGCTTGTTTTGCTTTCTAAAGATCCTCATTTCCTCCAGCCCCTGGCCCTGAACACCAGAGTACCTGAACACACAGAAATATCTGTACGTGCCCAAGGGTGGTATGATAGAGGTCAGAAGCCTGGACTGGACACAGTAAGCCAGCCTGGAACCAACTCCCACACTTTCCTGCCCACCCCATTCTTTCTGTCAGCCAAGCTTAGAAACCATTCATCCTCCCCTCCCCACCACACCTTCACCTCTGCAGCCATGGAAACCATTGAATTTCCTTCCTTTTGCCTCCCTGGAAAACCCAAACCCTGGAGCAGCCTCCATGGATGGTGGCAGCAGGCTCTTGGTGACCTTTAGTGTCCTGTTGGCCCAGATTGAGCTGTGGCAGTTTGGAGGACCATAGGGGAACTAGGAAGCCAGAACCTTACCTGATCTAATCCTCCTTCCCTGCTGTTCCAAGCTCAAACTACAAACCCGTGAGGGTTGCTTATTTACTCAGACATTGGACAAAATCTTATCTAGTAAATACTTCCTTAAAATAGTTCCTTAAAACATCAACTTTCTGGCTGGAAAACCCAGGGTGTGTGTGTGTGTGTGTGTGTGTGTGTGTGTGTCTACACAAAGGGAGTAAGGGTCAGGTCCCTCTTTTACATTGTGTCTCTCCCCTTTCCCTGGGTGGAGGATAGCAGCCTGGGCTGAGGTTTTATTGAGGATGTTTTCCTGTTGGGAGTAGAGATGGGTCATAAACACCTAGAGGAGGCTGTTTTGATCTGGTGACTCCTCAGGAAGTAGCATCTGAGGTTTTGCTTTGTAAATTGCTCTCCCCCCAAGCCAGCCAGCTACACTGGATTGCACTTCCCCAAGCCCACCCGAGGCCCCCTCCTTGCATCCCTTCCTCAGTAAACTAAAGCAGAAAAATAAAAGGATTTCTAGAGCCTCCTAAATTGTCTGCCTCCAGTTTTAAGGGGGGGGGGGGAGCTAGTTGATGATTTTCCCTCCTCAATGTCTTCCCCTAAAGAAATTGTACAACCTTTCATTTCCTTTTGCCCATGCAGACCCTGGTCCCCCAACCCCTCAGTCACAAAGGAACTAACATTGAAGGCTAATAGTTTCTGAACCTGGCTATAAATACCATGACTTCTAGGGCTTCTCCTCTCTTCTGGGGCTCATGTCTCCCTGTCACCCTTTCCTAAGCTCCAAAGCCCTTTTAGACAAGGTGGGACTTCAGAGAGCCACGAAAGAGAGGGGATGGGAGTGAGGCATATAGAGACTCCATCTAGTACCCTGTGAATGGAGGAAACTCTCTGTACTCTGTGACTGGGTTTTATGTGGTTAAGATGGGTACAGGAACATATGAATGAAAGCCTGCAGGCTTCTCACATCTCTCTCTACCAAGGTGTCTCCAAAGGAAATAATATTTTACATAAATATTTCCATTTTCTAATGATAATGGCCTTCCTGTGCTAAAGACCCCATCCCTACCACAGCTTCCTCCCTTTGGGATCTTAGCTTTAGGCTATGGTGCTGAAGAAAAAAGAATTGAGGAGCCTTCTACCTCAGCCTGAGTTCAGGCTAGGACAAGAGAGAACACTCTCAGGCCCAGGCATCAGGGCTCATAGCCATTGCTAGTGAAATGCCATTATCTGCTGGAAATGAGGCCATAGATTATATCAGTTCCTGGGTCTTCTTAGTATACTTCCAAAGGTTCTAGTTTGCCCTCATCCATTTCCCAGAGAAATCTGGTCTGGGACACCCCAAATTCACAAGCACTAGAGAATCCTCCCCATTCCTAAGACTCTATGCAAACACTTTTTATAGAGTGTTGAGCACTCCTATAGTTGTATATGTGAACATGTATTTATAGATCATTCTATGTCTATATCAGGATGTATGATTTACACTCCTCTCTGCTCCACATTTAAATGCAGATTTATAGATCTTTAGATTTATAGATCCATAGTGAACATAACAGTCCTCTGTCAAATTTCTGTGTGCACATTACCAATCTTTATATAGTGGTTGGATATATATGCTAGGATGTATTAGTACAGTTCTCTCTAAATACCTAAGTGAATATTTGGGAATTTTTTTCTTGGTTGGAAAGAACTATGTGTGTTGCTCCATCTCTATTTTGAAACTTTTATCTAGATTTATTCAAGGATCCTAACCCATAAAATAGCTGCATATTGAAGCTACATATTTGGAGATCTTTATAGTCTATGTAGTTTTGCTACAAACTTAAATATTTGAAGATATGTTTAGAGAGGCTTCCATAACACATATATCTAGGTGTAGGGGCATAGATCTCCCTCTAGAAGGACTTAAACTTACTGCATCTCTCTGTCTCCCGTTCTCTGTCTGTCTCTGTGATCTATAAAGATATTAAGTGAGTGGGGCTGGGGAACAAATATCTTTCAGATGTTGGACTTATTAACGCAAGCAATTCTGTCACTCTCTCCAAGGTTATCTCTAAGTCTAGTCCAACAGAGTTATCTGCCCCCTGAAAGCCCACTCTAGGGATCACAGCCTCCCTCTAGGCTGTCTCTATGACCTGAGATCCCAGGCCAGGCTTCCCTACCTGTAGGACTCCCAAGACAGCCACTAAAGGGATAGGGGGAGAGAAGAAAGGATAGGGTCCTCCAGCCCAATTCCTCTTGGCTCCAGGTGTGAGAGGCTGACAGAGGCTTGTAGGTGTCCCTGCCATCCCCAAACTGGGTCTTTGAAATGTGGAGAAAAGCGTGTTCAAGTCCCCAGCTATTTTTGTAGGGGACCCAAATTGATGCCAGGGTCACTGCACAACCCTTAAGTTCCCCCTCTCCAGTTGCTCTGGGTGCCCAGGGCCTAATTAAGCAGACGCCTCGCTCCCAGCAGCCCCGCTCTTATCGGCTGGGATTGATGCCTTGGCGGCTCCTGTATATCATTTCCAAGATTTTTTCTGTCCAACTCCTCGGCTCCTTTGGCTTCCGCGGCTTTGACTAATGATTGCTACAGATGCCAACGTCTCCAGAATCCTAATAGCCAGGCAGGCGGACTCTTATTTACCCGGCAACATTGCTGTGGGGGAAGGGGGTTGAGGGGGGACAAGAATTGGGGTGTTGTAGGTCCGGAGATAGAAGGTTGTGACCATCTCAAGTTTCGCAGAACTTCTTCCCCAGTGACGACGACGTTCCCAATCCCCTCCTCTCTCTGAAAGAAAAAAAATATATAATAATAAAATACTGCTAATAGTAACTCATTGCTGCCTCTTTAGAAAGGATTAAAGAATGAACAGGACGTGGGAGAATAAGCAGAGCAGTGTTTATTTATTGTAAATAAATAAAAATGTAAGCGAAAAACTAGCGGTTTAGGGAGGAAAAAGAGAAAGAGGTCAGCCACAGTGGGAGAAGCTTTTCCTTGTTTCTTGTCTTTCTCTTTTCTCTCCACCCTAAACCTACTCTTCTCATAAACTTCCTCCGCTCTCTCCCCTCACCTTCAATCCCTCGGGTGGGGGAGGGCTGACCAGCGTGCTCCTGGACGTAGGTGACCGCAGCCACCCCACGGCTGCTGCCCGCTGCCCGCTGGCGCTGCCAGGGTGAGGGGTCTCTGTCTGGGGCTGCGGAGCGAAAATCAGCTCCAACCGCCCACTGCGGGGTAGGGGTCGTGGCAGGGACCTGCAGCCCTGTGGTCCCACTCGCGCTTAGCAGCGTAAAGTTGAGGCCGAATTCGCTTCTCCTGGCGCTTTTCGCCAGCCGGCGCAGGGCCCAGGTGTTTGGGGGAAGGGGCTGCAGTTCCCCGCGAGCCGGTAGCCAGGCGTCGTGCTTCCTCCGTCTGCGTCCAGCCCTCCTACTACACATCTCATTCGGGTGAAGAGAAAAACACAGGAACGCGGAGAGCCCAGCACCGAGGCCAGGCAGGAAGTGATAACCCAAACAGGGAACATTTTTTCTATGAGAGAATAATGGAGCACAAAATAATTCAGAAAAGCGAATGGGCAGGACCAAGTAGGAGAGCCCCGCGCCGTGGGGCTGCCGCAGACCTGGCCGCGCCGAGCGCCGCGGGAGGACCATTTCGTTGGAGTGTAGGGCGAGGCAGCAGCCCGGGACCCGGACCAAGGCCGCGCGGTGCGCATCGGCTGCCCGAAGGGCAGTCTCTAAATTACAGCCGGTCAGGAGGACTCGGAAATACAAAAAGGAAGCCGAAAGATTTAAACAGTCGGAGGCAGAGGCGTCCTGAGGCGGCCAAAGCGAAAATCAATCACGTAATTAAAACAGGGAGGGGGCGAGGTCCCGGGTTCGGAGGAGGTGGCCAAGGTGCGGGCCAGGAGGGCGAGGGTTTGGGAATGTGGCTCGCCCACCGCGACTAGGGCGCGCGGAGGGCCGCGGGGAAGTTTACAACAGATCGCTATTGATTCCCGCTTGGCTGGGAAGAGCAGACTGTGTGCCCTCTCCCAGGCCCGATTCTGAAGCCTACGATGGCCCTTTCTCCGGCTTCCCCATTTTTATGGGGCTGAGGACGCGCAGTAGCAGTTGAAGGCTGTTCCCCAGATCCCAGTGGTGCCACGAATTTGCCGAGGCAAGTTTGTCTGAGAACCCAGGTGGCATCAAGATGCTGCCTGGGGTTTGAGGGGATGGCGGGAGGTGGCACCCCAGTTTCAGGCACTTATGTATTTCCCTTGGCCTTGATTCCCCCAACCTAGGATTCAAAACTTGCCTTTGGAATGACTCCAATCTATGGGCCGAGGCTTAGAAGGGATGTGCGAGTGGAGTCGGGTGAGCTTGTTAAAGGGGAACTTGGGGCTGAGCAAACTGGACCCCTTTGGGCCGGAAAGGAGAAGAAACAGTTCATGGAAAAAAGAAAAATAAGGCACATAGGGAGCTGTGTTTTGTAAGGGGAAGATGTTTTGTTATTAGCCAGGTTAATAATGGTAATGATCTGGTATGGCTGGGTCAGCCCGAGCAGATGGGCGCTCTACAAAGTCCTTTCTCACAGTGGCTTCTCTGGAGGAATTAAGGGTTTCCCAACTTGGCTGTGATTGGGGAGAATAAAATAAAGACCTTCACTCCCTTCCTCTGTCCTTTCCTCTCCCACTCCTTGAGAACTCCAGTAAAAGGGAATCCTTATAAAATCCCTATCACTGGCTATGGTTTTCCTGTGCTCTCTCCAGTTCACTAAATGCGTGGTCTTCAGGCATTGAGCTTTCGCGGAGCACCTTCCTTGTGCAGAATTCCACAAGCAGTTACTGGCCAAGTCCCCATGAATTCTGAATCTGACTCTGGAGGGGACCCAGGATTCCCTTGCCTGCTCCATGGAATTCTCTCTCTATCCTTAGCCTTTTCCAGTCTCTGCCTTCCTTGGTCTTGGGTGTCTAGTCCCGCCGGTCTCTGGCAGAGGCCAAGAACAAATTTGGGCACCTTGAGATGCCCTCATCGGCTCCCAAAAGGGTTTCCAACTTCCTATTGACTTCTTAATTCTGAGAGAAACAAGCCAGGAGTCTTCTATAAACTAACCTAAGGCCAGCCTAATTTTCTAGATCTTTTCAAACCACCTTTAGTCTCCTTTAAAAGTAAAAGTCCTCCTCCCTCAACAAGAAAGTTCAGGTTACAAACCTCCAGCAGTACAATCTTCCTGCATCCACATGTCAGAATTTTCAATAATAATAATATTCATAATAAGAAGAATTAAAGCTTGCATCAGAGGGAGAAAGGGACACCCTAACCCAAGTTTTAAAGGGGATATAATCCAGCAGCCTTGAATGGGGGTGGGGGTCAGTGAGGCCAGGATGAGCAAGGAAGGGGGTGGGGAACCCAACCTCTAACTAACAATTTCTCCAGCATAAAAATGAAACATCAAATTCGTTAGCCCAGGGCCTTCATTTTTCCCCTTCCACATTATAACTAGTTATTGAACTCGCTGGAAGATCTAAAGGCCATTTGCGAAGAGACAAATTTCAATGGAGTTTCCCCATCAATAACCCCATGGCAGTGACCTATTGGAACAAGTCAAACACCCGAGGTGAAATGCAGGTCACTCTGTCTAACCAATATTAAAATGCGGCCACTTTTTAAAAAGCCACTTTAAACGAGATTTGAGGAAAATTGAATTCCAAGGAAGGCAAGGCAAGGCGGAGGGAAATCCACGAGAGGACCTTGCCTATGGTCCCCGAACAAACAAGAGAAATTCATCTTTAATATTTTAAAGGGGGCAAATTAACATTCCATGATTGCTTTTTTTTTGAGACTATAAGCGATTCCAGGAGGAAAAAAAAGGTTGAGTATTTTCTTGTGACACATCCGGGTTATTAAAATCATTTTAGACTAATTCATTACTTTTACTGACAAGAGATTTAAGAAAAAATCAATTAAGCATTTGCATATTCTTTTGCATACATTAGCCCTGCCTGCTGGCATTAGAAAGGGACAAAAACACACATATATCCACTTGGCTTGCACACACACACACACACACACACACACACACAAAAGAAAAAAAAATAGGATAAGAGTCTTGATTTAGTCTGAGGTTTTTAAGTTGCCAAGAGAAAAAAATCAAAATGAAATGAATTGCCTGATTGCATATCATCTAAAAGTCAACTTATTTGAGGAAAAGGAAAGAGACATGTTGCAATTTTAATCCTAAAACAACAACACACATACCCACAAAAAAAAAAAACCACCCTGCACTTCAAAGAGTGGGAAAGGGAATGACAGTCGTTTTCCTTTCCTTTGCTCTCCAAATCCTGAATTGGTTCTCCCGTTTATTTTTCTCCCTCACAAAATCCAAGGAAAGGTGAGATTTTAATGCAGCACAGAATCTGTGGAGTTGCTGAGCTCTCTCAGCCAGCAGCTTGTTACTGGGGAGGGGAGGAATATGGGTTATCCAACGGTCAGTATGGTAATCCAGGCACAATAAGGCCTCACACACAATGGACACATATTTTTCTTCAGTGGTGTCAGAAGGGAAGCGCTTTGTACTGAAACATGTTTCCAAAAGAGAAACCAGATCGAAATTTAGAAAGGAGATGGGGTGGGGTGAAAGTGTGCAGAGAGCATTTGGATGCTGGCAAAAGGTGGTCAGAAAAAATAAAAAATAAAATTGGGGCAAAGGTGGAGGGCAGAACAGAGGTGGAGGTCCTTGGGCTGGCAAGGCAGGAGGCAGGAAGGCGAAGCACAAAAGATGACAGGACCAGATACAAGGATTCATCACAGGCTAGAGCCGCTTAGTACCCCCCTTCTCATCCCAATTAAGCCATTGCTAAGTGCAGAAGCCCTCTGAAAGCATTTATTTCTGTGCTTGTTATAATATCCAGGTGAAAACGTTCACATGTATGTGTATGGTATTTTACCCATGTGATAGGCGACTTCCATGCTATTAAGCTATAGGAGCCCAAAGGGAGTTGTTTTTTATTTTGTTTTTGTAAATGATGTGGATGAGTGTGGGTGCATTTGGGGGAATCTCGGAGATTTCACTTTCTGGATGTGCATGTTGAATTAGCTGTACAAACCTAGAATGAGAATGTCACATATTTATGGCTGCATAAGGAGGCATTTAATATATTAATAAATATTAATAGTATGTATGCATATATATTTAACCATAATAACCAAAGACAGACTTGACATTCAGTTGGAGGTGTCTGAACCCTCTGTGGTCTCCTCACTCATACTGGCTCAAGTGAGTCTACTCAACCCACCTGCAGGAGCTCAGAAACCTGGGGGTAGGGGTTTGATGGGAAGGACTCCCTAACAAGTTCAGGAAGGTAAAAATTGAAGAAAAGAGGGTTGAGGTGGAGACAGGGTTGGTAGAAGGTGATTGTGAAGGCTGGGAGGTGGGGAGCTGCCGACAGTTCACCTTTCCAGGTGGAGCAAGAGAATATTCATAGCTGGGAGGGAGTGGGACAATGGCAACCAGGTGCAGGCCTAGAAGGGAGACTGGGGGTGGGGCCAGAAGCCTTTCTCCCCCATTATCAACCCTCCCCCCACCCTACCAGAGCCCTCCCCATGGGCCAGTCTGGGGCTATAGTTCAGATATCAGGATTCAGCATTGGTTTCCCTTTGCCCTCTTACAGCAATTTATAATGAATCCACTCCCACCACCAGTAATTAAAAAAAAGAAACACACGATTCCAAACCACTACCAAGAAAGCAGCAGCTCACCCCCTCACCCCCTCACTCAGGGTCTAAAGTTCCTCTTCCAATCAAACCAGCCAGAATCAAACACAGAGGGTCCGGGACAGGAGTTAGGAGGGTTCTCAACCAACTCTGGGAATTTGGGGATCTCCCATGGGAGATGGTCGACCTCCAGGGAACCCCTGTTCCTTGTAGCAGCCCGGTGACAGTGGGGGTGGGGCACTGCCCTCTTGGGGAGAGGGTATCCAGGGACCCCCAAACACCAGCTCCTGAGCGGCTAAGCCCTAGCCCTGGTAAGCCTGGGGTGGGGGTGGGGGCCGAGGCAATGGAAGAGGGAAGGGGGCGGGGCTCAGGCTGAGAATCGGCCCCCTTTGGGCAAGCCTGTGGCCCAGTTTCCCTCCCATTTCAGCCCTCAGGGAGAGCCTTAATTAGGAAGTGGGGACCCTCTCCCACATCCCAAAGGTGGCGAGAGGATTGGGTATCTCTCGCCTTCAGTCTCACTCTCACAGGGGCTTTACTTTTTTTTCCCCTTTCCCTTCCTCATTCCCTTAATTGCAGATGTTCTAATTAAACCCTCAAATAGTTGTTATGCCGTTTTAAAAGGTACTTATTCAAGTGTCAACCAGGCTGGGCTGGGAGGAGGCAGCGTAGGGCGGCGAATTAAAGGTAGATTGACTAATCACGGCGGCGATCATAATAATAAAATCAGAGGGAAAAAAATCACATTACGACTTTTCGTGGAAAGGAGGGAGCAGGCAGCCAGCGGCCGCCAGCCCCGCGCCGCCGCCGACACAAAGAGTGCGGGCGATTCCGCGAGACTGATTTATGACGTTTTACAGCCCTATAAAAGCTGTAGCGACGAGGCAAGCGCTCCTACCACCGCTGGCAGATTTAGTCTAATAAATAAAACATAAACAGTTAACTTTATGTGTCACTTTTATTGTTATCAAGTAAAATATAGCTGAGCCCCGGCAAGCTATGATTTTAAACTATAATTGTTATCAAGTACAACAAGGGGACCCGGCTCCCTCCCTGGGCTCTCCCCTCTGCTACCCCCCCAACTCTGAGTTATGGGCGATCAGTTAATTGGAATTGGTGGCATGACACGGCCACCCCTAGCTGGGGGTGGGGGTTGGTAAAGCAGCCCTTCCTTGCCCCTCCCTCATCAATGGCCCTGCCCCCCCCCAGAGTATTACTGTGAGTGGGTGGCAGAAAGAGGCAAGCGGGTGGGAAGGGGCTGGAGCCCCCCAAGGCCTGCTCTGCCTCCCCAGCTTGGTGAGCTCACCTCTCCGTTTTTGGAAGCCAGCCTGGAGAGGGGCCCTTGGGAATACGTGTTTACATGTAAACACACGTGTTACACAGATACAGTCCCTAGCCGGAAGCAAGCAGGCTCTACCCACACAGGCCTCCCTCTTAGCTAGGTCCGTTCTCTGTGAGGATGGGGGAAGAACTGCAGGGCCTTGGCTGGGCACCAGCACAGGACACTGATTCCTGGCAAAAGCTCTTCTTGCCCCAACTCCTTAGGAGTGAGCCTTGGAGATAGTGGTCAGAAAACAGCAGGCCAAGCAGAATGAGGAGTGGAAACAGGAGCCAGCAGTAGAAGGGATACTCTGTGCTGGGGCTGGGGCAGGGAGGATCAGTGGGTAGCAGGGGAGGGCAAGGCTTCTGAACTCTGCTTTTGCCAACCACTTCCTGTCTCTCTTCAGCGGGGGTCAACCCCCAGACCTCCAGAAATGACGTCAGAATCATTTGCATCCCGCTGCCTCTACCTGCCTGGTCCAGCTGGGACCCTGCCTCGCCGGCCCCATGGCCAGAGGGTTGGGTGAGTGTATATGGGGAAGGGGGGCTGGACTCTGGTATCCTTGGATGGGGGGCACCCCAGGCTCTCCAGCCTCCTCGGCTCAGCCTGGGCCCCTCCCCATCCAACCTCCACTCCAGTCCTCATTCAACTTCCTCTTCCTGCGAAAGAGGGGCGCTGCCCAGTGACCTACACAGACTGAGACACAATCGCCATGAATGGAGACCTCTGGAAAAACCCAGGAGCCGAGATCCACGGGGCCCACCAGAGGCCTGAGGGAAGACCCTGGGCAGGGGCTGAATCACACAGCCTCACGACAGCCCCCCAATGCCCAGTCTTTGGAGGGGAGCTGGGAGCTGCCCGTCTCCTTTTGCAGGGAGGGTTGTCAGTCTGGCGGGATGTGCACGGGGGCATCCCAGCCCCTGCCAGCCAACCCCACATCACCACCACCCTCAGCACCACCACCACCACACACAAAAAAAAATTGGATACATTTTGAATAAAGCGATTCGGTTCCTTATCCGGGGACTGGGTTGCTCCGTGTGATTGGCCGGCGGAGTCACATGGTGAAAGTAACTTTACAGGGTCGCTAGCTAGTAGGAGGGCTTTATGGAGCAGAAAAACGACAAAGCGAGAAAAATTATTTTCCACTCCAGAAATTAATGATCATGAGCTCGTATTTGATGGACTCTAACTACATCGATCCGAAATTTCCTCCATGCGAAGAATATTCGCAAAATAGCTACATCCCTGAACACAGTCCGGAATATTACGGCCGGACCAGGGAATCGGGATTCCAGCATCACCACCAGGAGCTGTACCCACCACCGCCTCCGCGCCCTAGCTACCCTGAGCGCCAGTATAGCTGCACCAGTCTCCAGGGGCCGGGCAATTCGCGAGGCCACGGGCCGGCCCAGGCGGGCCACCACCACCCCGAGAAATCACAGCCGCTCTGCGAGCCGGCGCCTCTCTCAGGCGCCTCCGCCTCCCCGTCCCCAGCCCCGCCAGCCTGCAGCCAGCCAGCCCCCGACCATCCCTCCAGCGCCGCCAGCAAGCAACCCATAGTCTACCCATGGATGAAAAAAATTCACGTTAGCACGGGTAGGCAACTTTGCTTTTTGCTCCCCCCTCCCTCCCTTCTTCCCCGGAGCTCCCCACCCTCCTCAGCCCCCTCTGGCCTCCGTCCTCCTTTCTCTCCTTCCCCCTCTCTCTCCAGGAGCGACTCTGGGTTAGCACAATTGAACTGGATTTACGAGCGAGAATGGGTAATTACATCCCCCATAAATTTTATGGCTTAGCTACTCTGGGCAGTCCGAGCCATGTGCTACGATCTGTTATGTATGTGTGAAAACTATGCTCGCTTTCTAAGGGCGCATAAATAATTCAGTGTCGTTACAATGAGGATTCCCCTCTTATTACACTACAAAGTCTCCAGCTTCCTTCAACTTCTTTATAACCCATTTAGCTTGATGACTTTATTTCCACCTCTCCCTCCTCCTGTTCCTCAGAGCCGAGGATGGGGTGAGGGTGGGGGGCGGGGAAACTGCTGCCTCTGAACCCCACTATTTGCTTCTACCCTCCCCCTCCCCCAGTGAACCCCAATTATAACGGAGGGGAACCCAAGCGCTCGAGGACAGCCTACACCCGGCAGCAAGTCCTGGAATTAGAGAAAGAGTTTCATTACAACCGCTACCTGACCCGAAGGAGAAGGATCGAGATCGCCCACTCGCTGTGCCTCTCTGAGAGGCAGATCAAAATCTGGTTCCAAAACCGTCGCATGAAATGGAAGAAGGACCACCGACTCCCCAACACCAAAGTCAGGTCAGCGCCCCCGGCCGGCGCTGCACCCAGCACCCTCTCGGCAGCCACCCCGGGCACTTCTGAAGACCACTCCCAGAGCGCCACGCCGCCGGAGCAGCAACGGGCAGAGGACATTACCAGGTTATAAAACATAACTCACACCCCTGCCCCCACCCCATGCCGCCACCCTCCCCTCACACACAAATTGACTCTTATTTATAGAATTTAATATATATATATTTTTTGGTTCTTTTTCTCTTCCTACCACCTTGTCCCTTGTCAATTCCAAACAGACAAAACAGATAAACAAACAAGCCCCCTGCCCTCCTCTCCCTTCCACTGTTAAGGACCCTTTTAAGCATGTGATGTTGTCTTAGCATGGTACCTGCTGGGTTTTTTTTTAAGGCCATTTGGGGGGGTTATTTATTTTTTAAGAAAAAAAGCTGCAAAAATTATATATTGCAAGGTGTGATGGTCTGGTTTGGGTGGATTTCAGGGGAAATGAGGAAAAGAAAAAAGGAAAGAGATTTTTAAGCCAATTCTCATCCTTCTTCTCCTCCTCCTTCCCCCCCTCTTTCCTTAGGCCTTTTGCATTGAAAATGCACCAGGGGAGGTTAGTGAGGGGGAAGTCATTTTAAGGAGAACAAAGCTATGAAGTTCTTTTGTATTATTGTGGGGGGGTGGGAGGAGAGGGGGCAAAGACAGCAGACAAAGCTAAATGCATCTGGAGAGCCTCTCAGAGCTGTTCAGTTTGAGGAGCCAAAAGAAAATCAAAATGAACTTTCAGTTCAGAGAGGCAGTCTATAGGTAGAATATCCCTACCCCCCCCCATCGTGGTTATTGTGTTTTTGGACTGAATTTACTTGATTATTGTAAAACTTGCAATAAAGAATTTTAGTGTCGATGTGAAATGCCCCGTGATCAATAATAAACCAGTGGATGTGAATTAGTTTTACGTCAATGTCTGATGGTTTCTTTTTATCCCCCTCCTCCTCTGGCCTGGTAACATCCCACCTTCTCTATTAGTTGCCTAAGTTTACTCTAAGCAATCACACAAATCTTAGCTCTCAACTGGTTTTCCTATGTTCTTTGAGGAGCCAGCCAGGGGTTTGGGGTAAGGAATCTTCAGAATAGGGCATGTGAACAATTACAGCTGATTTCTCCTGTCCCCTTCCCTCAGAGTCTGCAGAGAGGCCAGACTCCCCTGGGGGTACTTATAATGGAACTGGGGAGGGGCTCACTTTTCTATAGTTAGGCATAGTTCCTTCTTTTTGTCCATTTTTCTCTCCCCCCTTCTCCCTTCTCTCTGCCAAGTAGGCCTGCCTAATTTGTAGACAAGAAGGCAAGTTTCTACCTCCCTTACTACTCCCGTAGAAAGGAGAAGAGTTTTCATCTTTTAGGGCTCTGTTGGGATGAGGGATTAAGGAAGATATCCCCTCAACACTGGAGTTCTCCTTAAAAGAAGAAAGGTTTTGAACTGGTGATTCTGAAGCAGCAGTGACCTGTCAGGATGGTTTCTCTGTTTGTTCAGACTTAGGGAAAAAAGGGTAAAGTGGAGGCCAGAGGCCTGGGAGGTCCCTTTGCATGGGTAGGCCTCAAAGGCTGGTGCCTGGAGATAATGAAAGACTTTTACCTTTTTCCCCTAACTTTTATCATGGACCTGCCAGGTGTTTTGAAGAAACTCAGAGAGAGACAAGAAATGTCCCCTCTTCCTACAACCTCCCAGGTCCTGGCAGGGACTAGGGATAGCCTGAAAAAGGCAAATAAAAATTAATTAATTAATTATTTTTTTAAAAAATGTTTCCTTGGGACTAAGAAAAGAAACAAAAAACTGGCCTGGGTTACCTGAATAATTAATTGAAGCCAAACGTTCCCAAATAATTCTGGTCCTGAAGACCAAGGCCTAAGCAAGGCCTGCTCAATTTTTTGTTTGTCTATCAGGAGAAGGAAGGTAGGAAGAGGGCAGTTGGTAAGCTGCTTCTCAGGCAAATTATCCAGATTTTAGGAAGAAGGGCAATTGGAAGTAGAAGAGAGAGGGAGAAGAGATCTGGGGTGTACAGGGTAGGCAGAGATGCTCCTTCCCTCTATCTCCAAATTTTGGAGTAAAAGACAGCAGTGGGACCAAGTTGTAAAAATCTGTTTGGTGTGCTTCGGATTTATTTCCTCTTCAACCACTTGCTGGCTGGCACCTGGAGTGGAGTACCGCGTGTGTGTGCATGTGCTTGCTTGTCTGTGTGCTGGGGAGGGGGGGATATCTGAGTCCTTCAGATCTACTTTCTCCTCCCTTAATGGTACCCTGAAGACAGAAAAACATGCTGCATACAGTGTGAGGAAGCAGGTCAACAATTATCCAGAGTTATTTTATGTAATCAAGTGAATTAGGGACCAAATCTGACAGTAGTAACCCCTATCATCTTGAGGCAGTCTCCTTTGGGGCAGGAAAAGGGGAAGTCTTGCTGTGCTTGGGAAAAGGGAAGGAAGGTCTGAAGGATGGACCAGGGTGCCTTTTCAAGCCTGTAAAGAAGCTAATATGTAATTCAATCGGGGAGGAAGTAAATTAAGATCCAGAGTTCTTTCCTAAGTTTGCTAATTTGGCTGTGGGGAGTTTATCTCTCTCCTCCCAAAAGTCAAGAGATGAGAGTGAGGAGGAGGAAAAGTCACTACATTTTATTTCTTAAGTTTCTCCCTGAACTTGCTGAGGGGACACTCTTTAGCTCAGGAAAAGCAGCATACATAGGTTGGGACACTATTTGGTTTCCTCTTCTTTATGGGCTTCTATTTCTCCTTCCTCTTCTCTCACACACATAGTCATTGTCTGTATGTCTCTTTCTGTCTTGGTCTGAAGAGGGGAAACATCAGAAATTCATAATTTTTGGTAAATGAAACAAAACTGAAATCTCTTACATGTGAGTTTTGGAAGATTTTGGCCTCTGGCCTTCCCTCCTTTGGGCTATATTTCCCTCAGTCCCCAAACACTTTGCCTTGGACCTGACCACCCAGAATGGGATCAGGCTGCCTGAGCAGGGGTGGAGTGTAGGGGGGCAACCAAGGCCCCAGCCCAAGCTCCAGCAGTCTTGGTCTCTGCTGCTTCGCCCGCCCGGCGCTGCCACAGCCTCACTGGGAAGCCGAGGGCCCTGCTTTTATTGAAGTTGAGTTGAGCAGTGGGGAAAGGCTGGGGGGAGGACGCAGCCCAGGTTCACGGGGAGGACACAGCATTTTCTCTCTCATAGTCTTTATGTTGAGCAGCGCCTCTGACCTCTCCCCCACCCCCTTCTCTGACCCTCCCAAGCCAGCCCTTGCTCAGCCCCTGGTCTCCAGATAGGATGCCCCTGCTTTTGTAGGGCTGAGGATTTCTTGCCCAGAGTAATGGGAGAGGCAAGGCGCATGAATGCCCGTTAGCGTTAGCGCATTGTATCTCTCTCTTCAATGGATAAGTAGAAAGAAGACCGGTAAACTGCAACACCAATCTTCCAAGGTCCTTCTCTCCAAGCACCGGGAGATCCCCACAGGCCAAAAATCCCCCTGGCATGTAAGTAGTTAGCACTCGATCTGCTCTGGGGGTGAGGAGCACAAAAGTTTAAATTCTATCTCTGCCACTCAATTTTTGTCTCAACTCCTGGTCTTGGGAGGGAAGGCGGGAAATCCAATTGTGAGGGGAAGGTTTCTGCTTGGGGAAAACGAAATGTCTGTAGTTTCTGTGCTGAGTCCCTGTACCTGGAGAGTAAAGAAACTTGGCTCAAAATGGAAAGAGAAAGAGCCTGAGAAAGAGAGACTGAGGGGCAAGAACTGGGGCACTTTGTTTCTCTGAGAGCCTCTTGCTGCTCTTTGTATGAAGTTTCCTACAAAGTTTTCTCTGCAATCCGCGTGTCAGTTTTCCTCCTGTGTGGACTTGGCAGATTGAAATCCAGGACTGTTGGGTGTGTGTGTGAGTGTGAGTATTGGCGCAGTGGTGGGAAAGGTAAAACAATAAAGGGGTTTGCCGGGAGGTTGGGGCCAGGACGCCCTTCCCTGCTTTTCTAGGATTAAGGGAGACTGACTCCAAAAGGGGTCCTTGAGCTGGAGGATGCTATGATGGAGAGGAGCAGTGTGTTGGGGCAATTCTACCATCTTTTTCTCTGCTTTTTGCCCAGTATTGGGGGAGCACGATATTGGATATTGCACTCACAAAGCCACTTCTCTGGGTTTTCCATAGCTTCTATCTGACATCTGTCTTTGGAGAGCTAATTCTAATTAAAACGTCCCCCTTCCAAGAGACCGCTCTGAGACTGGGAAAAAAGAGATGGAAGATCCCCCAACTCCAGCAGCCACCAGAGCAGAGAGAATATTTATTACCTTTCTGGATGTCATTACCTAAGAATACAATTTTATGAACTTCCTAATCTGTTAGCTTGATTTATCTAGATGGGCAGGGGCCCAAAATAAACATTTGGGAGATTTGATGGGGGAAAAAAACGTCTTTTCCTCTGACCAATCTTTTTTGCTAGAACTTACCACCCCTCTCAGCTTGCTTTTTCTGCACCCTGCATCACTAGCCCCATTTTTATCTTTCCCCTGCAGCATGTGTGGCTGCTCTGGGTGTCGGAGTTTTAGCTGCCTCCTGAGGATTAAAAATGCTAGGGTACGCTCTTTGAGTCAGAGACCTGAAGGGATCCCTCAGACATTTTAAAACCTGCGCAGCAGCTCAAGGAGCTCTGGGATCCCTTTTGGACTGGGGGAGCTGAAACCGAAGCTGATCCTGGGGTTTGCTCATCTGCCGGCCAAGGCCAGGAGCCCTTCTCAGATCTCGTGCTCGCTCTACTCTCCAAGGTTTTTCTTCTTTCTGGTGTCAGCTCTCTAGCTTCTTTGAACACAGGGCCCAGGTAGCACCTCCATGACACCAAGAACAAGGGCCCCTGTGGTCCCATCTTCCTGTTGCCCATTCCTGCCAGGCTGGACAGATGAATCAGGAGGAAGGGAAGACAAGATGGCTAGAGAAGATCTCAGAGTAGGTTTGAGGGTGAATAGAGTTAAGAAGCCTAATAATGGAGGAATTTCTAGTCTGTTTTAGTCTAGTTCTGTTTTAAATTTCTAGTCCCCATCAACAATTACCAGATACCCTAATCTGCTCTGCCTGCTGTGATAGGGGTCATGCCAAAAGAAGTGTCACCTCTACTCACTCCTCCTTTCTGACTCCCTCTCTTCCCAGCGTCAGAGACTGGGAGAAGAAAGTATACAGTATGTGAATTTCCAGGCAGAGAAACCCTGTAACGGAGCGTGTAGGAGGCACTTGCCAAACCCTAGGTTCCCGCTCCCTCCCGGCGGCCTCTGGCTTCCCTGGAAGCGGGGCACCAGAGAATGGGAAAATGCGACTGGAGTGGGTGGAGGATGTCTTGGCTTCCCTTCTCGCAGAAACTAGGGTCTCAATGATTGAGAAATCATTGAGATTTGCCCTCAGCCCCGGCAAAGGCGAGGTTTGAGGGGCCGGTGACAGATAGCTTCTCCTCGGTTCCGGGTTCCACGGAGCTCCGGTCTGGACGCGGTGTCGCGTTCAGCTGGGTCACGACCCCAGGCTTGGACTGCGGACAATAGGGTGCGGGGCGGGGGACGCGGGCTGCGTGGCAGGCTGAGAGGGTTCACTGCAGGGTGAACTCAGCTCGGCCTCGGGGATCCAGCCCTTTAGATACCAGCTTCCCCTTTCTTCCCCCATTCCATCTTCCATTATTTCGTGGAAAATTGAGCGGACTCTTAGTTGCTCCTTGACCAATACCCTGCCACTACTACCACCAAAAAAGGAGATTTCATTTTCTTTAGAAAGGAGAGCATAGTTTTCTCCAGTTACGAGAGCAGGAAATGGGACCCTCTGAAGATCTTTGTGGGCCTGCTGGAGAGGGGAAATCCAGTTACCAAGAGAACACATCCTGACCTGGAACTCAGGACAGCTCTGAGGGGTCCCAGGCCATCAAACCCACAATTCCC